TTTCAAGAATCTTAATAAAGTACTAGCGTAACTGCTTAAGGTTAAAAAAAAAAAAAAAAAAAAAAAAAAAAAAATATCCAACAACCTATCCCTATTATTATTATCTTCATTTTTTCTTCTTTCTTCTGTCCTCAACTTTCTCAACTTCTTCTTATCATTTGCTAACTGAGCTCTCAACTGATTTCTTTCCTCCAATAACCGATTATATTGCTACTCCAACATTCAACTATTTTAAACCTTTGCGATCATATTTGCTCTCAATTCTTTTAACTCTGTCTTCAAACTCTGTATTCTTTTTTTTAATGAGGCTACCAACTGATTCAAACTGTAACCAAGTTTTATTAAATAATAAAAAAAATAAAAAAAAAAAGCAAAAACAAGAAAATTTTAAAAGATAATATTCATTATCTGTTTTTAACTTGGACCACCCTCAAGGCCTCATACAAGGCATTATTACCATTTTAGTAAACATGACGAACATTTCCAGGAAGACTTTGGTGAAACATGATTATTATTGTTATTATTATTGTTGTTGTTGTTATTGATATTGTTGAGGTTGTTGTTGTTAATTTTATAAAAAAAAAAAAAGATGTGACAAAAGAATTATAATTTTAATAGACAATAATGAAACAAAATTAGAAATCAAATAGAAAATGATTTATCAAAATTGAAAATCAATTAGAAATTGCTTTAACAAATTTAGAATGATAAAGATTTGTATATCATATAATTGCAAATCACATGGAATCTAAGAATCTTATTGAACACTTAATGTACATTAATAATCTTCAAAAAGAGTACAAAATTTGAAATTTAGTAATGTTTTTAGTATGGATTAACAGTATAAGGTGTATTACCAGACTGTATAGATTGTATATTTGAGACTAATTAGGATGAGCTTTTTGCTAGAATTCAAGTCTTGTAAGACCCTTGGTTAAAATACTGGAAATAGAATTTTTTTTTCTTTGAATAACTATACTTATTTTTTTATTTATTTTTATTTAGTTAGATATTGATATTTTATTAGTTTATATAGTATACTTATTTTTTATAGTTTAATTTTCTATTGGGTCTAGAATTAATAGATGTCTAGGACTGTATTGAGTGAGACTAGAGCTCTATACACTTTTTAATTAAAATTTTTAGAACATTTTTAATTTGTTATTTCTGAATAAAAATAACTGAAGATTAAATATTCAACATTATTGAAAAATACTAGAATCTGAGATAGTAATAAGTCTTGAAAATAAGCCTAACAATAGTATATAAATAATTGTTAAGTATACTAAAAAGGAATTTGGAATATCTGTAAATCATGACTATAGCCTAGTACTGGCAGGTTTAATAAGTACTGTGCATAATAAAAAAAAAAAAACACAACTTTTAAGATAATTAAGAATAGAGTATATATTTTCATATCACTATATTTCTTCTTACAAATATTTTGGAACTTGAACATTTTACAATCAATTGGGTCTTAGATTTTCAAAATATTGTATTTTAAATCTATCATTAAAATCAATCCAGTTTAAGTTGATGGTATTCTAACAAAGATATTTTTATCAAAGTTCTTATAGAATTTGAAAATAAGTCTAAAAGAATGTTAATCTACAAAAATGACCATAACTCTTGAAGCACTAAATAGAATTTAATGAAATTACTACCATTCGAATCAGCTCACTGAGATGGTTCTAATGAGGTATAGATTATCTATTTCTGATCATAAGATCCCAAGATCGAATCCAATAATTAAATTAATAAAAAATCTGTGATCTGATTGGTTGAATGATTATTGCATGAAATGTTATACATATTAAACATATAACATTTATGTGATTTAAAGCACATATATTTTATATTATATTTAGTTTACATATATTATTTAGTTTATTTAGTTTATTTATTTTATATATCAAACATATCTTATTTATTTTATTAATAGTAGTTGTAAAATATCTTGTATATATAAAAGATATAAACTATTACATTTACTATGTAGCCAAAAAGTATAAAAACAATAAATGTGGACCCCAAGTTCAATATTGAATCTTTATACTCTTTCATTAATGAACTATTACTTTATATTATCCAAAATAAACAGTTATTAGTATCCTTATATATTTTTAATTGTAACCTCTTTCATAATTGCAAATTACCTTAAATCTTCTTTGTTAAATTTTCTAAAATAAAATGTCTTCCAACTTAGTTATAATACAGTAATAAGTGAGGTTACAAAAAGTGTTCACTGTCTAAGGTTGCTCTAATTACCTACTATCTTAAAAGAAATAGATATAGGATAATACTATGTAATCAATTGTATACTCTTCTGTAATGGTTCATTAAATCATATTACTAAAAAAATCATTAATAAAAAATCAAAAGACCAAAGAGATCATCTTAACACCAAAAAAAAATATATATAAAATTTAAACAAATAAATTCTAAATATAACAACTAATATAAAACCTTTGAATAAGCTACTTAAATTAGACAATACAAATTTTACATATGACAAGTTATACTCTTACAATATATATTATGCATGATACTTATAAAAAAGAAAGATTAACCGATAACATTTGAGTAACGAAAAGGGAAAACCTGTAAATCATTTCACATAATAAGTGAAATGATTTACAGGTTTTCCTTTTTCGTCAAAAGTTAAAAACAAACACCAAACTATATTATACTAAATATTTAAAAATAATTATCAAAAAGCAATATAATGATTTTGATTTTTATAAATTCTTTTAGATTTTAATTTTTTTATTTTTACGTTTAGTTTTGTATTAAAAGTTACTATTATAAAAGTTAATTCGATAATCGAAAAAAACGTTCTCGCACAAAATCAAAGCTTTAAACCAAATTACAATTACTTATTTACTGAATATATAATGATGCCGCAAAAGGTATACCTCGTCTTAGCTTATTAATGGCCGTCTGAAATTTCATTTCTAGCTCTGAATTTCCAATATTTTTTGCAGCAGTAACCATTGCTCGTAGTAATTCATCTAAGCATCGAAACACTCTAATAACATGACCATCATAGGATTTGGGTGCTATTTTCATAATTTCTGCGAATGACTTTCCCTGTTTATTATAAAGATTTATAAATTCATGTGAACTTAATAATAGTTACAAACGTTGAAATGTTAATACTACATACCTGACACCAATTATGCACTAATTCCATCATGTCAGGGCAAAAACTGGCAAGATACTCCTCTTCATTTATTTGAAGCTTACACTCTACTGATATAGCCACGATGTTTCGTGCAATCTCCTGTAATCTACGATATACAACGTATAGATCTTCTTTTAAATTGATCCTTTCTTTATCATGTTGTTCTATTACAAAACAGCTGAGAAGCGCTGCTATCTTTTCAACTGATAAATCACTAAAAACTCCATTTAGTAACATTTCGGTCAGAACAACTTCATCACCAACATTGATATCACACGCGACACGACCCTTAACTGTAACTATATCATCCTCGCTTAAATATCCTATTCGACGTAGGACTCGTTTACGGTGCTTAAGATCATCTAGATGTAAGATGGATTTAACATTGTTGACTTTCTTTTTCAAAGATCTTATTCTGGCACGAAGTGCAACTTTTTTGCCATATTGCTCATATAGTGATGAAAGTTGTGAAGTATTATGAAGTTTATTGGAGAAAAGCTTATCTTCAAGGACTTCCGTTTTCTAGTAATCCATAGAAAAATTATAATTGCAAATACACGCATGAGAAGTGTATGCTAGAAACATACCCTTATCAACTTTTGGAAATTTTCATCTTCTATACCCATGTCTTCAATAGGATCTAGTGGGGCTAATCCGCCGGGATAACGTTTAATTATTACTTGAATGCTATCGTAAACACTTTGTCTAACTTGTTTAAGCGTCAAAATTTTAGGGGGGAATATACGGATTTGACTTATGCAAGACAAACTAGATAATTCGACAGGAACAACCTGAAATTGTCCAAATAATTTGAGAGTATGGGAATGAGATATTATAAAACAGACAAAATATATTATGTTACCAACTTGTAAGTACCCTACCATCGTTTCACCAGGAACATTTTCTTTACAAGGCTTTACGCCAGTAGTTGTTCCATCAGCTGCCTTAGCAACAATAGAATCTTTATCACAATATAGTAGTACGTCAACAAAGTATTTATCAGTAGAGGATGTTGGGTTATCTTGATTGTCACTAGCTTCTTGTAATGTTCGTTCAAAGGTTGGATCCGCAATATATTTTTGATCCTAATAATAATATAGTTTAAATATAATAGGAAATTAACTATATATTAAAATATAAGAATAATTTTAATCATGGCTTACCACCCTTTTTCCATATGCAACTACCATTCCCCACCCAAAATCCATGTCGGCATGTTTTACTCGTACTAATCTCCCTGGTTTAAGGAATTTAAGACAATTAGAAGGATGATTTATGATTTGTCTCATTTCGTGGGCGTAAACATCCAATAGTCTGCGAGTATCATAATATTCAGCAATGACATCTTCATCAGGTATTATAGAGTTAGAATATTCCAATTCGGCGTGACGAAGATCTATATAATCATTTGACATTAAAAATTGCACTGTATGGAATTTCTATCAACAAATATGAATATCAACAAAACTAAACCTTCTTCAAGTGCTGGTAAGGTAGCAGAATTCTGAAACTGATAAAAACTATTTTTCAAAAGATATTCTGGATTAATCCCTTCAACCCTCATCATATTCAAAATCATATTATACTTTAAATGGAAAGCCGATGTCAGGTTATCTGATTCACCCTATAGAAAGTAATAATATATAAAATTTCACAACTTTAATAATAATAATAATAATAATAATAATAATAATAATAATAATAATTAGAAACGCTACCATAATCATTTCTTTAAGAGCATTGGGAGCCATTTTTTCCCTTGCCATTAAAATCACGATTCCCCTGATATCGATACCTCTTCGACCTGCACGACCTGACATTTGAATATATTCACCAGACGTTATCTAATAAGTTAGTAAAATAAAGTCATTAAAATCGTTTACTTTATTTCTTAGGGATACCAAGCCAGAAGAAAATCACGTACATATCTAACAAGTTCACCATCAAATTTTTTCACATCTGTGAATACCACGGTTCTAGCTGGCATGTTAAGCCCCATAGCAAAAGTCTCAGTAGCAAATAGGACCTTTATTAAACCTTCTTGAAATAGCAACTCGACTATTTCTTTTAAAAGAGGCAATAGCCCGGAATGGTGAAAGGCAATGCCACGTAATAAATATGGATACAGAAATTTTATTTGTGGCAATTGCCGATCCTCCACATCAAGCACGTCAATTGCATTATCAAACACAGTTTTTACCAATCTTTTTTCATCATCTATAAAAATTATTGAGACAATTGCGATCAAACACCGTTAACATGAATATTTATCAAATATTAAATATTTAACTTGCCATTATTAAAATCAAACTGTTTTATTTGCATCGCGTAATTTTCGCACAGACTCTTTCCGAAAGAAAAAATTATTACAGGCTGATAATTCCTTTGCATAATCATATTTATTATTTTAATAATATCTGAGGGACCTATAATTATAAAAAAAGATAATAAAACATAAATAAAACTTGCAAAAAAAAAACCCCCCAATATATGCGAATGTATTTAAAGTCAATATTTACCTTTGGATCTATCAATTACAGTTGTTTTTTTACCCTTAAAAGATTTGTATTCAACATCTTGATCCGGTAATAATGATTGAGTCGCTTGTAAAAAATTTTCTTCTTTGAATACACCGTTTTCATCAACTACCATATATATGCCATCACCTCCACAAGGATAAATATAATGTTGTAAAGGTGTGGGACGAAAGTCAGTATATACAACATGACATGGCTACGAAAGAATATGAAAGAGAATGAATTAAAATCACATAAAATTACATCTTTTAATAATACATAAAAGACTTGAAGTCAACCTGAGCATGTATCTTGCATATCCATTCAGCAAATTCCATTGCATTAGGAATTGTTGCAGACAAAAAAACAAAATGTACTTGATGAGGTAATAATATTAGAGCTTCTTCCCAAACTACACCTCTTACTGATTGTAAATTGTAAACAAAGGTTAAAATTGAAGTTTTTTTTGCAATATTACAGATTAAACGTGCACATACCTTTATCTCGCATATAATGAATTTCATCAAATACAACCCACGAAACCTCTCGCATGATAACATCATTACCGCGATAAAGCATTGCAAGTAAAATCTAAGAGTTTTTGATAAAGTTCGACAAGTATAACTTTATTCGAATGAATTTAAGAGTTGCCCACCTACAAACCTCAGTTGTCATTACTAAACAGCTCGCATTTGGATTTATAGTCACATCACCCGTTAATAATCCCACGTCACTAAAAGCCGATTCCAATTCTCTATATTTTTGATTACTTAGAGCCTAATTAAATAAAAAAGGTTAAATTGAGTATTGAATACAGCGAATAGCTTTATTTATGAATACCTTGATCGGACTTGTATAAATTACTCTCTGTTTATTTTTCAATGCTAGAGCAATTGCGTATTCAGCCACTGCTGTCTTGCCAGCTGAAGTATGTGCACTGACCAAAACTGATTCAGATCTTTCTATCGACGCGATTGCCGCTTTCTGAAATGGGTCTAGCTCAAATTGATACTCTTTAGCGGGTTCCATGAGATAAACATGCTGAGATATTGGAGTATACGGATAGTTTGGAGGAAGTGCTACCTGATGGCGAATAACCATGGTTAGTAAAGCGCAGAAATTTGGGATTTCTTTGACAAATTTACGTCAAGCTCGAAGATAGATGTGATCTATGGGTAATACAAATTCCTAACAAGGAAACAGCCAATCAGAGGGTTCAATTTTTGATGATTTACTAATTTTTCCCCAAGTTCCTATTGGCTGGAATTATTCGCACCAAATTACATGCCATTTTATCCTTAAAAAGTTAACAGAATTAATACGTAAACAATTTTGTACGTACGTAGCAAAATTTTGTTAGTACCCAAAAAGGAAATCAAAAACAAGTGATTTTTTTTAATTTTTATGTTATACCTGATCCTGTTTTCTGATTCGCTATAGATGCATTACGTTAGGGGCGTCAGGGACACGGAAATTATTGATTTATATAGATCAATATAAATCGATATTTTTACAAATCTTTCTGTAGTGTAACATTACACAATCTTGGTGGGCAGAATTATGAATAGTGCCGGCCAGCTATCCTAGTGTCGCCCATAAAAAATGTAGCTTACGTCATTATTTATTCACAGAATCAAAGCGCAAAATCAAAATTTAAAATTTATAATAACTCGGTATAGAAGTGCCATGGATCTTTAAGATAAATAGAATTTTTATGATCTTCCAAAACCGTCAGTTCATTATAGAAAGAGTTGATTATACTTATTTTTTTAAAGAAATATATGTATATAAATAATAACCTAACATTGTTGTTATTATTAATTCGGAGCTTTAATTATGATGTAAGCTACATTGTTCATAGGTGATACTAGGATGGCTAGTGCTGGTCAAAATTTAATAACGCTAGTTAGAGACTTGTGAATCAGGTGATCAGAATTATAAAAAGCTTTTTTATGATTATCTTACAACTTAGATGTATGCAGAATTTTTTTTTTTCTTTTAAAAAAAAAAAAAGATATATATTTTTTTGTTTTTTTTTTTTTTTTTTTTTTTTTTTTTTGTGTTAAAGGCCATACTTGTGGTGATACTTTATTGACTTTTATTGGGTTAGC